TGAAATTAACATTATTTTTCTCTTAAACCATTTTAACAATTAATAAACTAAAGTTATTTATGAAATGCACTGTATGAAGTATTGAGTGTTAGATCTAAAAAAAAAAATATATATATATATACACACACACAGACGTATAACCTTTAAAAATTACATTTAAATTTGTTGGCCTTTTTACATTTATTTACAATCATATCAAATCAGGATTCATTTATTAAGTAGCAATCTAGTACTTCAGTGTTTTTGACCTATTGAACACAAGTATTAAGACTAAAACACATTTTTGTAATCATACAATTGCAGGAGCAGTTCATTGAGATGTGTAAGACTCTCTACAACATGTTCAGTGAAGATCCCATGGAGCAGGAGCTGTATCACGGCATCGCCACGGTGGCGAGTCTCCTGCTGCACATCGGAGAAGTGGGCAAGAAATTCACCAACAACGGCAGCAAGAAAACCGAAGCCCAGCTGCCCTCAGCAGTCGACGCTCTGCAGCCGGAGAGGGAGGACTCGTCCGGGGAGGGAGGATCAGGACAGTCCCTGGTCTCCAAGGCCCTGGCAGAGGCGCAGCTAGAGACGCCACCTCCAACAGCGGCCGGCTCCGACGAAGAGGCCAAAGACGACACGTCCGTTTCGTCCTACTCCGTAGTGAGCGCCGGTTCGCTGCAGTGCGAGGACATCGCCGACGACACGGTCCTGATTGGCTGCATGAGCGGAGATGCGGTGGATCGGAGGCGGGGCAGCGCGCCGGATGCCGATTGGTCGATCACGTTCGAGCAGGTTTTAGCATCGTTCCTGACAGAAACATCGCTGGTCGACTACTTTGAGAAAAAACACGACATCCAGAGCAAAATGACGGCATGCAAGTCACTGAGAGCCGTGGAGAGACAGACAAGTACGTCGAGCGATCACGATTTCTCTCTGAACACACACTGACACACTCCTAAAAACATGCACGAACAAACAAGCTTATGTGTATGTACGTCCGGTTACTCTCTATAGGAGATTGATACTTCTGTGTCATAGTCAAACAAATAGTGTTTAAAATCCATCCAAGCAGCTTTCTATACAATAAACCTCTGGAGTTTTAGATGTGATGACCATGTTTCACCCTAGTATCTGGTTTTTGATTGGTTGAAGGCATCAACTAGCAGGTCTGGAATAGAGGATTATGGGATATGGCCTACGTAAATCTAAATATATCTGTATATTAAAGTGCTTCAGCTCATACAGATCAACAAATGAAACGTCACACTAAAAAATATTTGACTTGCACACTCATCTTTAGTCCCAGGTTGAAATATCCCGCACTAAAAGTGTACGTCACTAATGCTTTCTTGCACGCATGCTATTGCTGGATATATTCAGTGTATTTGGCAGTAAGAAGTGTCCTTTCGGTGAAGAGTCCACTTCATAGCTCTGCTCAGATTCACTTTAACCCCTCAGATGGAAACCGTTGTTCATTCTTAGCTTTGTTTAGCATTCTTAGGTTTAAAGCCGTGTTTCTGTGTGTTAAAAACGTTACTGTTTCTAAGTAGGTCACTGCCTTACTGATCAGACGTGTACAGTTTGTCGAGGATGGCGTTGCATGTGTTTGTTGTGGTGTTTTGTGAGGTAAGCGCCATCATTTTGTTCTATCAGATGTTTGGTTGCTGGAAACTACACAAGCGGTACAGCGCTGGCTTATCTTCGTCATCCAAAATGTAAAAAATGTAGCCGATTAATTTAGCGCTATAATGGCCTTTACCACGTAAAGCAGGAATTGTTTGTCTTTTATTCTCCAAAAATTATTATTATTATTTTTTTGCTGTCAGGCCAGAGTAAGCAAGTACAATCACTGGGCTTCATTCATAAAAAAAACTCAAGCAGAGCGAATTAGTGTAAATTACTTGTAAAGGCATTTGAATTTTGTCACTTTGAAATAAATGAAACATTCATAAATGATATTGAATGCACAATGCAAACAACATTTGTAAATGTACTATAATGGCCTTTACCACGTAAAGCAGGAATTGTTTGTCTTTTATTCTCCAAAAATTACTATTATTATTTTTTTTTTTTGCTGTCAGGCCAGAGTAAGCAAGTACAATCACTGGGCTTCATTCATAAAAAAAACTCAAGCAGAGCGAATTAGTGTAAATTACTTGTAAAGGCATTTGAATTTTGTCACTTTGAAATAAATGAAACATTCATAAATGATATTGAATGCACAATGCAAACAACATTTGTAAATGTACGTAAATTGATGCACTGAATTGAAAATTATCAGTCAAGAAATCATGTAAACTTGAATTAATCATGTAGTTTTTAAATGTAATTCAGTCATCAATTTACTGTTTTACAAATGTTTTTATGCATTGTGTGTTAAATTAAAAGCAAACATTCAGTATGCATTCAATTGTTGCACTGAATAAAAAATGCATATGAAATTCTATTTACATAAATTGATACATTTGAATTTAGAAAAACCATTCTTATAAATAATAGCATTAAATTAAAATATCTTAATGTTTGCATATTTTTATGTACATTTATGCACCGAATTAAAATTCAAGAAATCATCATGTAATTACATGAATCATTTAAATTATTGAATTTAATTCAGTGCATCAATTTGCATTAATTTACTGTTTCGCATTAAAATAAAACAGTCAGCATTGTTGCATTGAAAAAAAGAAAAAAATCACATCTATGTGAAATTATATTTACAAAAATTGATGTTTGAATTTAGTTAAACCATTCTTATATAAATCATAGCATTAAATTATTTTGAAAAAAAAATCCAAGATGTTTGCATATATTTTTTTTCTCTGTAAAATTAAAACTTTTTTTTTTTTTTACATTTTTGCTTGTGTTTTATAAATGATTACTGTTACGTTTATTTTGGAACATGCAGTAAAAGTAGCATTTCCATTTTTTTCGTTATGTTTCCTTTTTATCAAATGAAGATGGAGAAACTCGGTAAACTTTAGTGTGGAGAAACTCTCAGCCATAACATGATGTTCTAGAATGTAAAAAAAAACAAAAAAAAACTTATTGTAGGCCTGTACATTGAGATAAATATGGAACCTGTTGTTTTAAGGACAGACTTGGCCTTTTCATCCTGATCTTTAATCACATGACTGAAAGAGTGTGGACGCCTGCATTTAATCAGATGTAGCTGAGCTTCTTCACCTGTAAATAACTGCATATCACATTACAATATCAGAAGTTTTAACGTCAAATCGTTTGCAGTGACCGTTCTTGTTTGTTTATAGTCATGTATCGCTCTGCTTTTGTTTGACCTGTCACCTGTAATTTGTTTCTGTTCTATATTTGTGATTTTTAACAGTTGCTTTTGTACTAAATAAACTAGCTTTAAATTAAGCCTGTTCAGTTTAAAAAAATACATTCTGAAAGGCTTCAGTATTAATTTTCAGATGTTTAAAGAGCTTTAACGTGATTTAAATGGGGCAGAATTTAGAAAGCAACATTTGAACCAGTAGAAATGAGAGATTTTAAATCAGTGATGCAGCATTAAAATATGTTTTAAAATTGGACGCATTGATTTAAAACATCAGTTCATCTCCGCTATGAAGCGCACTTTTGTCATTTGAATCTGAATGTGAATGAATACACATGACCTCTGTTTAACTGTGAAAATAACTGGCTTCGCTTCACTGTGTTTCTAATTAACTATGTTAATTAATGCACAAACTAACATTGTTTCCACTTTCATCCTGCATTTTGCAAAAGGAGTGAATCTTTACTTGTTCTCTTGCTGGAGCGTTTCTATTTCTGTAGGCTTCTGTCTGTGACATGCAGTTCTTTCTTGATGTCCACTCATTTAAAAGTTGTTTTAAAACTTATTGTCATGAAACCAGTATTGTGTAATATTATGTAATAAAAATCAAGTTATGGAAAATCTGAGCGTATTTAGTCTTTTCATGCACATTGTCCAAAGTGCGACAAACCTTGGAACCGCAGTCATCATAACTGAAAGAAATGTGCCAAGAAACCTCTTCCAAAATAAAGCACTGATGACTTTTATTATGTAATGAACAAAAGGAAAATGGCCCAAAGTGAAATGTTGCATTAGTATCTGTTCATCAGTGGTTAAATGTATGTATTAAAAAGTCATTTAAAAAAGAAAATAGAAAATGTAATACTTATAGAAAAATAATAATGCAAAAAATGTTTGTATTAAACACTCTTAAAAGAATAGTTCACCCAAAAGTGAAAATTTACTAACCAGGCCATCCAATATGTAGATGAGTTTGTTTCTTCATGGGAACAGATTTGGAGAAATGTAGCATTACATCACTTGCTCACCAATGGATCCTCTGCAGTGAATGGGTGCCGTCAGAATGAGAGTCCAAACAGATGATAAAAACATCACGATAATCCACAAATAATCCACACGACTCCAGTCCATCAATTAATGTCTTATGATGTGAAAAGCTGTGTTCGTAATAAAAAAAATTAACCAAGACATGTTTAACTTAAAACCATTGAGTCCTCTATCCATAATCTTGCTTTCTTGAGTGAAAAAGTAGTCTCGTCTGAATCAGGAGAGAAATCTGCACAGATCAAGCACGGTTTACAAGAGAAAATAGTCCAAAGCAGTTCTCAACAAATATGTGGGTGGATTCTGATGTGTGAGGACAATGGATGGACCTTTTCACTGGAATTAAAAAAAAATTTTTTATTGATTATGGACCGGAAGCCAGTTAAAACGTGTTAATGATGGATTTGTTTCTTACAAACACGCAGCTTTTTTCCTTCACAAGATATTAATTGATGGACTGGAGTGGTGTCAATCACTTGTGGATTATTGTGATGTTTTTATCGCCTGTTTTGACTCTCATTCTGACGGCACCCATTCATTGCAGAGGATCCACTGGAGAGCAACTGATGTAATGACAAATGTCTCCAAATCTTTTCCCATCAAGAAACGAACTCATCTACATCTCGGATGGCCAGAGGATGAGTACATTTCAGGCAATTTTTAATTTTGGGGTGAACTATTCCTTTAAAAATAGCACGTTTAAATATATCAAAAAGCTGCCTGCAGATGCGTGTATTTACAGTAAGCGCTAGAAGAGCAATGCAGCTGAACTGAAAAGCGATGAAGTGTCTGTGTGAAACCTCAAATGCTTGTGACATGATTGTGAAAGTAGTTTAACTTGCAGCACTGGAGAGACAACGAGTGTTTCGGTCAGATCCATGCATGCAAAATTTTAAGTTCTAAGAATGTGGGCTTTGAGAATAATTATTTGAGTGTGTTTGTGTGAGAAATGTATAGTAGCTTTAACTTGCAATATAATTTATGTTTATGAAAAAAAAAGACCTTTTAATGCTGCTTTTTCCATGCACCAATTTTGCAGTGGACCGAGCTGTCATAATTCTGTCCTTCCAACCTCTGCCTTCTGTTTGGCTTCAGAAAAGTTATGTTTCGATCCCAAATGCTTGTGTTATAAGACAGCCATTGCTCTGTGATCCGGTTGAGAAATCACAGGTTGTTGGCTTGTATGATCTGCTGTAGGATGCTGTCTACATCATTCGTGTCGTAGCTGATTCCCTGCATATCCAGGTTCGGTAGGATGGAAGACAATAATGCAACCACATTCTGACGGACAGACTGCAACCTCTCCAGCGTCACACTGCTGTCAGGAAGGAATGACAGAGACATGTTCATATTAGTGTGTGTGTATATATATATATATATATATATACACACACACACACATCAATTTTACAGTATTTTTAATCAAATAAATGGCTAAATATATATATTTAAAACACAGTAGCATTTATTTAGGCATTTATTTGATAAAAAAAAATACTGTACAATTTGTGAAAAATTGTTACAATAAAAAAAACTTCACTATTTGAATATATTTTAAAATGTCATTTATTCCGGTGATCAATTTACTCCAAAAATTAATCCAGTCTTCAGTGTCGCATGTTCCTTCAAAAATCATTCTAATATGCTGATTTGCTGCTCAAGAAAGATTTCTGGTTATTATCAATGTTTAAAACTAATATTTTTTGGAAAATGTGATGCATATGAAAAGAAAAGCATTCATTTGAAATAAAAAATGTCTTGCAATATTATACATGTCATTACTGTCACTTTTGATCAATTTAATGTCTTCTTGCTGAAAAAAATTAATAAATTGTCCTTCAAAAAAAACCTTTAAACCCATGTATAATATATAAAATATATATAGATGAATAAAACCAAATATTTAATAAGAAACATGTAAGAAAAAAGAAAAATGACAATAAAAAATGTAAATGAATATGACTTTTTAGCTGTTTTGTCCGACTGTTAAAAGACACAACTATCACTTTTGATCAATTTAATGCATACTTTCTGAATAAAAGTATTAATTTCTTTAAAAAACATCTATTTATATATTGATATATAAACTACATATATAATGTATATATACATAGATATATATATTTAAAATATATAGATGTTTTTAAAATTAAATTTTGTTGGAAAATGGCAAATAATAAAAAAAAAATTTCAAATAAGATATGACTAGTATCTTAGCTCTTTTGTGCAGCTGTACTCAGTCATACACACCTATTGTAAGTGTGGTTGGCTGTGTTGGTGCTCTGGTCTCTCCTGTCTTCAGTGTCTCTCTCTGTCTGTCTCACTCGGTTCAGCAGTTGGTCTCTCTCTGTTCTCAGCTCGTTCAGATCAGTTAGCAGGCTCTGGTTCTCACTCTGGAGTTTGGCTAATGTCTTGCCCCAGTACAGCTCATCTCTCGGACTAGTTTCTGCCTTCTGCTGGATGGGGGACGAACTGGATGGAAGCCTGTTGGCCTGTTCCTCTGATTTCTACAGATTGAAGGTATTTAAAATGATTAGTTTATTAAATGTTGTGTGCCATTGATTAATTATGGTGTCACTCTGATTAAAAACTACACACAACATACTGATGTTTAATGATTTACCAAACAAATCAGGTTTCTCACATGACAAATTGATAACTCAAATTTATTAACAAATTAATAGTGAGTAAAAAATTATACAATTACTATATCTAAGCGATATGCACTATAGATCAAATCTCAACTGCTTGATTGTTACGATGTCAAAAATGTAAACTATATTATTGCCCAAGCAATATATTAAAATATGGATATATATATAGTACATCCTACTTGCATATCTGCATACAAATAATCAGCAATACATATTATACTATACAATATATATATATACAAATTATGGTTGCTTAATTGTTTATATTGTCAGAAAATATATCTATATTATCGCAAAGCTCTATTTATAAAGTTCAATATATCTCACTATTGGATATATATATATATATATATATATTATAAATATGTTAGAATATATATTTAAAATTCTGGTTCTAATGTAAAGTTATTTGCAAAAATGAAAATTTGCTTATTATACTGCCACCTTGTGGCTGATCTTTACAAAGATTGGTACACGTACTAATTTTCACAAGATGTACAAATATATTAATTTTCATAACAGTTGGCCATTCAGATTTGACATTAACCAAATCTGAACTGTTTGTATTGTCACAAAATATAGCTATATTATCGCCCAGCTCTAATCTGCTAAATGCGACTATAAGGCATCAAATTTTTAAAATACTGATATGATTTTCTGTACATCTCACTTTAGCCACATACTTGCAGCATAATCACGCAAAGCAATATATACTACTGCAAATCTTGTCTGCGTAATTGTTTATACTGTCACAAAATTATACTAATTATAACACAGCTCTATACATAAAGTTGGATATATATTCTAAATATATAAGACATTTTATAAATAAAAATAATGAGATATACACTTGTTATGGCTTAAAGGGGTCATATGATGTTGCTAAAAAGAACATTATTTTGTGTATTTGGTGTAATGAAATGTGTTTATGTGGTTTAAGGTTCAAAAAACACATTATTTTCCACATACTGTACATTATTGTTACTCCTCTATGCCCCGCCTTTCTGAAACGCGTCGATTTTTACAAAGCTCATCGGGATTTAGAAGAAACGAATTCTGATTCTATCACGTTATTTGCAAAAACGCAAAGTTGCTTATTATAGCGCCACCTTGTGGACGATCTTCATAAAAATTGGCGCACATACTAATTTTAACAAGATGTACAATACATTAATTTTCATTACAGTCAGCCACTTGGATTTGGCATTAGCCACTGAAATTTGATTGGCTGCTGGCATCCTTACCTGACAAACAGAAAGTTCCTCCCTCCTAGACTCATTTGACATTGGGTTCAATCTTTCCGCATTTTGGTCACATGACACTGAATCACCCGTGGTGACATCAGAAGGCCCACCCCCTTCTGCCTCCGTCACCATGGCAACCTCTGGCTCACGGATGCCCAGGATTCTTTTCAGCCGCTTGGCTTCCCGCTCAAGCTGAGCAAGTCTCAGAGCAAGCGCCACGCGGTCTGAACCGTCTGCTGGTAACGGCGACACGGGCTGAAATCCCGGCCGGCTGAGAGGAGTGACGACCACTGTCTGAGTCATGGTTGTGGAGGCGTGTGGTGAGAGCGGGTGAGAGGGGATCCTGGGCTGATCTTTGGGCATCTGCGGCCCCTGAGATGTCTGGGGCTCAACGGGGCCCTCGAGTACAGCGGCTTCCGGCTGAATAGTGTCCTCCTGAGCCACCGTATCCACCGCTGGTGATGTGCCGCTGTTTGTCTCTGATCCTTCATGCGCTTTGTCCGTTGTTTCTGTCTCTCCCTCAGATGGGACGTCTGGAGCTTCAGCATGGTTTGGGGACTTATTGCTCTTTTCAATGTCTGAACATGTTTCTTTCCTTCTTTTTCTAAAAAATAAGTGAGCAAAGTTAGTTAAAATAAGTTAGCTACAAGTTAGTTAAACCTGGGGTTTTTAAACGTGCTAATTTCTTATGCGGGTCCCACTAAAGTGTAAAGGCAGCTTTAAATTTTCATGTATAAAGACCCAGTTATATTGTAAAAAAAAAATCTTCAAAATTTGTGTAAATATTATCTGCAAATATTTACTTTTAATAAGTTATTCATTCAAGTTAATTCATTAATTTGATTTGTTATATGTTTTTTCTTTACTTTTTTTTTTTTTTTTAAATGACATTAAAACAGTACAAATTTGTCAAATTTGGTATAACCTCTGTATTATATTTTCTATACAATTCATATAAAAATATATATTAAAAGCTTCCTGAATAATAACATATCTGGTTTAAAGTTACAGTTGAAGGTCACTCTATCACCCACTTAAATACTGTAGTTTATTGTTTGTCACTACCACAGTAACACAACAATGTTTGTTAAACATGTTAAATGCACCTGCCCAGTCTTCAGGACTTGTACAACTCCAGAGTGAAGAAACGGGCAGGTAACATCATCAAAGACCCCTCTCACCCCGGACACAACCTGTTTGCACTTCTCCCTTCAGGCAGACGCTACAGATCTCTGTGCACTAGAACATCTAGGCATAAAAACAGTTTTTTCCCCCATGCCATCTCCAGCTTAAACAGCTAACATATGAATCATTACCTGCGTTCTGTAATTCATTTCCGTAATTCATTCTACATCCTTAATTATTGCCTCTTTCTCAAGTATTATGTAAATACATATGCATATCTCTTTATTTATACAGTTCTATATAGAGTAAATAATGCACAAATCTGTACATAAATCTACTGTTCCAGATTCATACACATTATTTATTGTTAAGTTTTTACTATTTAAATGTTTTTTGTTTTTGTTCTTTTTTCTTCTCTGTTCTCATGTCAGATATGTATGTATGTATGTATGCATGTATGTATGTACCAGGAGCACCTTAAAAAAAAAAACCCACAACAAATTCGTTGTGTGTTTGCACACACCTGGTGAATAAAGCTAATTCTGATTCTGATTCCGATTCTGATTCTAAATGCACTGCAATGCATCAACCAAGGATTTGCATCTGCATTTGTGTACTTGCTTCCTTCCTAATGACGAGCGACTGCCAAAGTGATTCTTTAATGTGGGTAAATGGCCGAGTTGTGTAATCTGTCAGACCTCGGGGAGGGTGAAGACTCTTCTTCTTCTGTGACGACGACGCTGACTCCATCCTCATCTGTATCCTGTGTATCTGTTGTCATGGTAACGGTGACCTCATCCTGTTTGCTCTGTGATGCAGGTTCAGATAGTCCTCGATAGAGAGGACGCACTGGGCTTTTACTCATCTACAACACACACACACACACACACTTATTATAGTCTGAAGTGAGATCAATGTGCCAAAACCAAAATGATAAGTGATATTTCACATTAATGTACGTAATTTCTATAAATGTCTCTGTATGGCCACATAACTGCAGCCATTAGAACCAATTACTAAAATATAGTTTCTTATATAAAATAATACTTTTTCTTTTCCATGAAACAGAGCGATTTTTTCATAGCTGCATTAACTATAAATGATCTACTAAGGACAGCCTGACTGTAGTTTAAGAATTATTGTGTCGCTTGGCAAACTACAGTATCGAAATACTGCAGTTTCCCAAACACTGACACACACACCAACAATTTATGTTTGCATAGGCAAAGCTCTCACATTCATACTCGTACGCATTATTTGTCATGTCTGCCACATGCAAAAGAAGACGGCCGCATGCAGACCTACAGAAAACATTTATACAGACCAAACACACACAACTGAGTCAACAAGCCCACAGCGAGAGTCAGAAACCCAAGTTCCTGTCCTGAGAAACGAGTACTTCCTCATCTGACACACAAACAGAGGTGAATACCTCCAGAGATCTTCCTCTTCTCTTGATGGAGGCATGTTCCCTGCGCACAACAAAACACACATTAACACCGCATGCATTCATACTCGAATTTCAGGTATCTGAAAGTGGAGCCACTCTATTAGTGTAAAGTTTGTGTTTACAAGTTGTAATAAAGATTACTGGAGTTCATTTTACAAGAATTTTCCATTTCAGTCTTTCTGCTTTAAAAGTTTATGTTTAATTCAATGTTTTACTTGCCGTTTTTTTGTAATAATTTGTGAAATTTACAATGTTTTTTTGCGGTGCAGAGACAATTTTACTGTCTTAACTGTTTTTTGAGTGTTTTTTCATAGCTGGGTGTTGTGACTTCAGCATTTTCCTCCATATCCTCCGGTAACAAACAGCTCCTACACAACAAAAGCAGAAGAATAAATAAGACATGCTTTGAAATTTAATACGTAGTGTGCGGTTGACAGCATACTATGCAATATACACATTTCAGGCATCCAGTTATATTTTCCCTTATGGTTATTGTCTGTTTTTAAGCCAGTTATGTGTAAAGGCCTTAATTCTGTGCAGTCTTATTAAAAAAGTTAAAAAATAAATAAAATAAAAAAGTGTGTTTGGAATGGAATTCTAGTGTACTGCATTACTGCATACTGTGTACTATGCTGTCACATGATCTAATCAAGCTGCATGTTAATACAGCAAGCAAATCCAGTAGCATTTTCTAATGATTTTAATTTTTTTATGCCACATTCTGGCAAATCAGGTCATCTGGATACTTCATTCACACAGAAAACTTGCTTAATGCACACAGTATACATACTGTAGTGCATATATAATATGTGTAGCATAGTAGTACTGCATTCTGAACATACCCGTTTAATTTAAGGTAATCAAACAGGCATAGACTCACTGTAAGCGTGGTATTGGGTGCATGCTGCATTTGAACCGATCAGGAACGCTTCCAGCAAACAGGTTAGTGCAGATTCCTCTCCATTTCAAACACTCTTCACACTGAATCCACATCACATCCCTTCAGACACAAGAAAGCCATTAATACAACTTGTTGTATGTGGAGTTTTTATATATATTTTGTAGTGCTGTCAAATCTGTCATCCAAAATAAAAGTTTGTGTTCTTATGCTGTCAAACCGATTAATCGTGATTAATCACATCCGAAATAAAAGTTTGTATTCTAATGCTGTCAAACCGATTAATTACATCCAAAATAAAAGTTTGTGTTCTAATGCTATCAAACCGATTAATCACATCCAAAATAAAAGTCTGTGTTCTAATGCTGTCAAACCGATTAATTGCATCCTAAATAAAAGGTTGTGTTCTAATGCTGTCAAACCGATTAATTGCATCCAAAATAAAAGTTTGTGTTCTAATGCTATCAAACCGATTAATCGCGATTAATCACATCCAAAGTAAAAGTTTGTGTTCTGATGCTGTCAAACCGATTAATTGCATCTGAAATAAAAGTTTGTGTTCTTATGCTGTCAAACCGATTAATTGCAATTAATCACATCCAAAATAAGTTTCTGTTCTAATGCTGTCAAACCGATTAATTGCATCCAAAATAAAAGTTTGGGTTCTTATGCTGTCAAACTGATTAATTGCAATTAATCACATTCAAAATAAAAGTTTGTGTTCTAATGCTGTCAAACCGATTAATTGCATCCAAAATAAAAGTTTGTGTTCTTATGCTGTCAAACCGATTAATTGCAATTAATCGCATCCAAAATAAAAGTTTGTGTTCTTATGCCATCAAACCAATTAACTGGCATTAATCACATCCACATCCGATTTGACCATGCTGTCAAATCGATTAATCGCGATACACAGTTGCACATACATATATTATGTAATCACAAACTTTTATTTTGGATGTGCTTAATCGGTTTGACAGCCCTAATATTTTGGGAAGACATTTATGCCCAAGAAATAGCTTGACGTGAGCAGTTTTTGTTCATATGTTGATGTAATAATTCCAGTTGAAACAAGGTTAGGACTAGCCACTAGCCTTGAGTTCAGCTTCAAATCCATGATTTACTACTTGCTATTGCTTGTCAGAGGCAGGTGGTATAGACTGTTGCAGTAAAGATGTACAGTATATTTATAGGTCAAAAACCCAGAAATTAACATTTTAGCTCTTCTAGTTCCATTGTCCTGAAGTCAGTTGGCTTTTTGGTTAAACGCCTGAAAAGGTCAGAGGTTAACACAAGCTTCAGATATTGTCATGTTTCATTGTACGACATAAAAACACATCAGTGATTTTTAAGGGTTTTACTTGAAAGCTGTTTGCAAACAAATGGCTAATAGCATTACTACTTTCTATTTTTTTCTATTTTATATATATTTTTGGCCTTTTTTCCCTATCTTATTAAAAATATATTTTTAAAATTTGAATATATTCTTTTAAATTATTTAAACATATTTTTTGCCCTCAATATTGTCAATCCAAGAAAATACATTAATAACTTTTGTTGTCTGTAACACGTGAGCAACATTTGAATAAAAACAAGTAATGAATAAAGCCCCTACTGTATGACTGGAAATGTATTTTTTTGTCCCTGAAAAACATTTTGAAATATATTTTGGTATATTAAGATTGAAACTAAATACACTTTCACTTTCAAATAAAAATATATATTTCATTGAGCTTCACCATTAACAACATATATTTAGCATATATATAAAATATGTTTTGGCCAGAAAAAATTGCCATCTGGGTGTGTTTATAATCGCACTCTTGAAAACTATTCAAACTTGAACTTTCAGTGAAAGACTGAAAGAGTTGAAGGAATAATAATGCTGGTGGCATTTAATCATGCGACCGTGGTATAGTTCACTTATAGTCTATGTTTAACTTTTTACTTCTACCGATTTTATTTAGGCTTTGAAATTAAAAAAAGCTGTGAAGCTTAAACCAGCATCCCAGCATCAAAACATACCTAACCAGCATATGCTGGTTTTTTCAACAGGGCCATGTATTCTGTATCGTTACATTTTTGCAAAGCTAATAAAACAAAGCCTCAGTTTTGTTTTCATGGGAACCTTGGTTGTGATCAATCGTGTGTTGCATGTTTTAGTTGTTGCACGGTTTACTCGCAGACATCACAGATATGAACCATGCTACTACTTTAGCCGTGTGATTAACAGTTTCACATTTCTCTGCGCCGCCCACCTGCATTTAAGAGCTCAACTCGACCTCTGCCCTCACAAGACGCTTTTTGTCTGTGTGTTTTCTGTTATGAATATACGTGCGAGGTTTGTGGTCTAACAGACAAATAGTCAGACAATAGTTTTTAGCAAGTTAGGTTGCACCATCTTTCATTATTTACCCACAAACCCATGGTACTATTCTGGCCATCTGACTAACAGATCACCAACAGAGCAAAGCAGGTACCACAACACTGTTGTGTGAAAAGTTTTGGAGGAAAACAATCATACACTTCTTCTTCCTCCTCTTCCTCTTCACCATCCTCATCCTCTTCCTCTGTTTCCTCATTATCTCCTTCTTGGCTTTTCCTCTCTAAGGCTTGAAACGCTCTCTCTTTTGCTTTCATATATATATATATTTAATTAATGTATATATATTTTAAATATTATTTTATTTTTTATATTTTACTCTTAATATTTTAAAGTTGATCACAAAATATTTTATTAAAAAAATATAAAATTATTTTTAAATAATTAAACAAATAATTAAAACATAAAAATGTACTGACATTTCTTTGACTTGTATTGTGAACTGTATACTTAAACCTATTATTTGTGATCAGCTATACAACAAAATATTCAGTTTCACCAAAGCTTGTTTCTCTTGTTTGACGCTTGTTTAGCGTCAGTCTGGCATTCAAATGAGTTGCTATTGGAGCCGGACGGCGCTGCAGGTTAAAGTTTTTGGTGAGTTCCTGAAATGCACCTGTACTCTTTGGTGTACTCAAAATCCTGCTTGTTATGAGCAGGCTTGAGGAAGTTACACTCAATCACTCCGATGACCCCGACCCCTGACCTTTGACCTGACGACTGAAGGAGAGAGATGGGAAGTGAAACACGATGATAATTGAACCAAATGCACAGTTATTGTTTACGTCATCTGGAGTAAGTTATAACCAGGCCCAGACAGAATCTATTATAGTTTTCTGCATTTTCTGTGCTGATTTTGTGGAGATTTCTGTGGAATAGATAACAATAACATGAAATACATGTGCAGATTATGTGTGGACCTGCTTATATCTCGGTTCCTCACATGAATGGATCCAGTACCTTGACTTGGAAGCCAACTTTCTCATGGGCCTTTATCAGTCTGTTTTTATGGTACATCATAATTCCATAGTGCTCCTTATTTTTCTGGTTGAATCCAAAGGTTATCTTCACTCTCTCATTCTGAGAGTCATGTTTAAAGAAAACACTCTTGAGTCAAAACGAGTTTGACTAGGGGATTATGGGAAAAAAAAACATAGTAATAATTAATAGTAATCAGTTCAATTCAAAAACCTGCTGTGGAAGTAAAACACATAAACAGCTAGTGCAGGCAGGGTTATTACAGTTAACTACAAACATAAAAAATGTAACATTTCACATTTTCATTCAGTTTAACCTGATGTACTTGAAAAACTAAAACTGAAATAAATTTGAATGAAAAAAATAACAAAAATTTAAATAAAAACAAAAAATACAAAACTAAAAACTTTGAGGCAAGTAGAAGGATACGATGAACTGGGGTTTATAGACATCATTCTCGATCATGGACAGACTCTTGGCAATCAGCTTAGTCTGAACTTTCTTCTGTCTCAAAATGATCTGAATCCTGGGCTTCAGGTAAAGGATACTGAGATACGCCTGGAATGGCAGACAGAGAAATTACATTTGTGTTGGTGTTTATTTTTCCAGTTAATTCTCAACTTTTTTCCATTTAATTCAAGGGCACATATCAAACTGTCCTTGATTGAGATAAAACATATTCAAAAGTTCCTCCCCAGACCAAAAAATAGCATTTATAGAAAACAAGCTGCAAAAATGTCCAGTAACATTTAGACATTAGTATTTGGCATACATATGATGTATTTTTGTAGGCCAAAACACACAAACAAGCATTTTAGCTCCTCCGGTTCCATCGTGCTGAATTCAATGGGTTTTTGAACAAGTTTTTGGTTAAACGCCTGAAACGCAATGTCACCGAACAGGTACAGCGGTTTTACAGCTTCATTGTGTTTACAGTCACACTCTTTCAAACTATTCAGGTAAACTCAAACTTTCAGGTAAAATGTTTTTTAAGTAAAGTCTTAAAGAGTTAACAATGGTGACACTGAAGTCATGTGACCGTGGTGTAGTTCACTTATAGCCTATGTTTAGCATTTTAATTCTGGCAATCTGTATTTAGTCTTCAAAATTCATATAAGTTGTGTTCATTTGTGAAGATTATCATGATGAATCATAAACTTTTGTTGGCCTCAGAGCTTATTTTCTGCAATAATCCAAAAGCCAATGGAAAATTCTACTGGGGTTTTGTTGAGGGAATCAGGCTGATGCTAATACATATATAAATTTTTTAATTAAAAATATATATTTTTTTAAATAACATTTTGTACCTCAGTGGAAAAAGTAAATAATAAAAAAGTCTATGATTTGAAGACTGTATCTCTGACAGTTTCTGATCTTTATCTCTGCACCACAAAGTTACTTTAGAGTCTCAAATTCACCAGTTCACACTGCGGCACTGTATTATCATTCTCTCAGCTCCACCTAAAATTCACACACACACACACACACACACACACATGCACGCACACACACACTCACACATGCACGCACACACACACTCACACATGCACGCACACACACACACACACACACATGCGCGCACACTCACTCACATGCACGCACACACACACACGCACGCACAGCCGCACACGCATACATATTTGCATTCACACTGTAAAACAACCACAGGCCATAAATATCAGGAAGTTTCTTGCTCTGTTGGCCATCTCTCTCTCTCACTCACTCTGAGAGAAAACTCCATCTCAGGGACGCTGTTACTGTCTCTGCGGTGCTTGTAATAATCTCTCCTCCATTTTCCCTGCGTCTCCTCCGATTGGATCTCTGGCAGACGGATGTCCTCCGCATCCGTGTCAAAGTCAAACTCCGGCTTTCCATCTTTATTTCTGTGAGAGAAGATTGTACAAATTTGATTTAAAGACAAAAATGATTTAAAATCATTCAGTATTTTTGCATTCAAGTTAGAAAGAGAAATATCTTTGGATAAATAATAATTTTAAAAAAACTAGAAAAACACTCAATATTTTTAGCTTTATTTTTCAATGCTTATCTGTTTATTTTTATTTATCAAACAGTCCAAATGTAAAAGAGTTATGCTGATTACATTTGCACTTTTAGCACTTTTTTTTATCCTAAGCGACTTGCATTTAAGGAAAACACTTTATCAGTTTCAGATAAAACATACTTGCATATTGCATTTAATCTATCAAGGAAGTGGCTAATAAACATATATCACAAAATCTACCATTCAAAAAAATGTCCATCAAATAAAGAGAAACACTGTAAAAGTCCAGATATCTATGGAAGCATGAGATAAAAAGAATGCAACTTTTTATCTGACAATTCGGACTTTAAACAAGTCAGAATTGTGAGATATAAACTCAGAATTTTGAGGTATAAACTTAGAATTCTAAGAAAATTTCATAATTGTGAAACGTAAACTTATAATAGCGAGATATAGGAAATTTACATCTCACAGTTCTGTCCTTTTTTTTTTATTATTGCGAGTTATCTCACAATTCTGACACTTTTTATTGCGAGTTTATATCTCGTAATTCTGACTTTTGTTCTCAGAATTGTGAGACAGAAGTCTGAATTGTGAGATATAAACTCAAGAGTTGTAAGGAAAAGTCCAAACTGTGAAATAAAAAGTGACCTTTATTGATTTTTTATTCCATAGTGGGAATTGGCTTGTAAATGTACTCAAAAATGCAAGTAAAAACAGAAATATGATTAGAAAGTAGCCAGCTGCATATCTGATATCTAACAAATAGCTTAAATATGCTATTTGTTAGAGTTGAGAGAATCACATGCTTTAGGGTGATTAAAATGACTTGATTCATTGAACTGAATCAGTTCAGGGTTATATTCAATACAAACACAAATCAGGAGTGTGTTGAGTCAGGTGAGTCAGTACACTCACCTGCATGCAACATGTAAATCACATGCAAATTAATTATGACACTGAACATAATGGTTCTCCTGTCTGCATTTGCTCTGTAACGTCATCTTTCACTACAACATGCAACTCTGGCAAAGTAGTTTGAAAACTGCCAGATGACAGACCTGCGGATGTTCCAGATGAGTATCTTGGTTCCTTTTTTGCCCTGAATGGAGTCCAATTGCTCTTGTAACTCAGAGACACTCTGGAAGAGAGAATATTTCAGGATGGCTCTCAGACTCGCCTCTGAATCCTCTGTTACCACCAGCGCCTGTGAGGCAGGAGTTAAAGGCAATGTTTTGTCCCACTGAGACATCCGTTTACAGTCTATATGCACAGAGTGCATGCACATGCATGCAAAACAAATACATGCATCTTATTATTTCTCTATGCATATAGTCTACTTGTCTACAATCTGTATGCAAAGAGTACATGCACATGCATGCAAAACAAATACATGCATCTTATTTTTTCTTTAATCCTCCTGTTGTGTATTTGACGCCCACTAGTTTTCAAACTGTTCAAAATACTGGTTAAACTATTTATTTCTTCTTGGAATGTGGTGAAAATTTCTCATTTATGGTCAAGAATGTGCATGCAAAGTTTCGACACATAGATGTGTTTTGAAAAGGCTATACAAAAATTGTTAGGACTTTTGTGTTGGGGACTCATTGACTCCCCTATCGACCCCCATTGGTTTCCATGCAATTAACACTTTAAAGAACACTATAGAGTGAAGTGAAAAAAAACTTTATTGTAGCTTGTCCAACACTCAAATATGAAGTTCATGAGAACTTATGGAATCAAAGTTTACTCGAAATTGAGACTCGTCTTCTGAATCATCCAAGGAAAATATTACATTTCTCACATATTTTATATTTTGTATTCTCTAACAAGCTAGAATAGACATTTTCTGTTTTTATATGAATATTTAGTGTTTTTCAGAGTGATTCTGGCTAATTGTATGCAAACCAATGTGAGTTAGTTTGACCCCAAACACAAAAGCTTTTGAACACAACAGGAGGGTTAATCAAACAGAAAAATGTTCAAGTCTTGAGTTGAAAGACCCGTATTTCTACTGAACAGAAGGATATTGGTCTGTTGGTTGAACGGGGCGATTGGTACGATCACAGCCTGAGCTTTAATGGCCTGTAAGAAGCTTTGAGACAACATGCCCACACTCTGACAGCCACCATTTTTTGTGAAGATCAGAGCATCGCGGCCAAGACGCATTGAACCTGACTTAAACCCATTTCCGTATACGCCGATGGGCTGATGACTGCTTTTACTGGAGCCTTTCTCTGTGAATCCAAAGCTGTGAAAAAAAAGAGATTTCTTTTCACAAAATGTCTCTCCTCAACAAGACTTGAGGCATCATTCGTGCCTGTTTTCACACACCTGAGCATTTTGTGCAGTTTGTTGGGCGTCATACCGCTCCCGTTGTCCATAAAACTGAGGCACAGCTGTTCTCTGACCGTCACAACATCAATCCATATGTTCTTGGCTGTGACTCCTGGGTCAGATGCATTATCTACAACACACGCAGAAACGTGTATATAATTTGAGTACAACTGCATTAATTATTGTACATGCACAACATGAATGCTTTTTGCAGGACTTTCCGTTTTCTCTTAAACTGCAAGCCATTGCAAAAAGGCAGATCTCTTAATATAACCTACAACCTAAAAAGACACACAAGCCGTTTAACAGGAAGTCAAGAGGAAACTGCAGAAATATTAAGACGGATTTTGTTAAACCTCAAATCTTGATCATTAAGTAATCAAAAGCAAGCACGACAGGAACGCAGTTTCCTGACACCTGTCTCTAACGGTACTGAGATCCGATCCTGAAAGCTTTACATATTTCCATCAGCCTTTACCATAAACCATCTATCCTAGCAGAGAAACCGCACGTGTAGTTTATCACGTTTCACAAACACAAGCGACTCATAATTCTTTCATTAGTCTTCATTTGAACACTACATCTATAGTTTTAGTAACGTTATACCCAAACTATTTTTGATAAATGCTTTGCTTGTAAAGTGTTCGTAATTGGCTTTATTTACATTAATTTTTATTTTTTTATTTGCATTTATGCATTTGTAGATGCTTTTATCCGAACTAAATCAGTTTATGCATTCACTGGGACACGAAACCAACCATAGTGTTGCTCTATGTTGTATTTTATTATTAAATGCAATGACATTCAGACATTGTAGGCTAAGTGTTCGGATCCACTATGCATTTAATCCAAAACGCAACTTTACCGCGCAAAATGCATTATGCGTGTTGAGTTTTAACATTACGCCATTAATTATCATTTAAGCATTATCCGTAAGGTACCGTAGTTTGCCTTAAAAGAGCTGCAACAGGTGCGCAAGTGATGTGCGCATTTATTGTCTATGAGATTCGCGGAAGTTTAAACCGAAAGTATCGCCAGTTCCTGACAAAACCTGAGTTTTTCCTCTGAATAGATGAATGTATTTGTGTTTTGCTCACCGATGAGTTCCGCGACCGCACTGAAGGGCCATGTGTGACTGGTGGAGTTGCTCTCCAGGTACGACGGGCTCATCTATAAAAACAACATTACACAATACAATCATCGTAAATACATCGTAGAGCGTGAGAAAAGACTTTAGAGAAGTTAAGAAAGAGTACACTACACACAGAGCTCAGCCGGATCCCGTGTTCGCTCAGTCTCGCCATCATGAGGGTTAAAACACACGTCAGATGAAAAGAGATGCAGATGGTTCATTCTTCCTCCTTCAGCGTCTCTGTGTGTGTGTGTGTGTGTGTGTGTGTGTGTGTGTGTGACGTGACTATCTACAACACACGCAGAAAAGTGTATATAATTTGAGTACAACTGCATTAATTATTGTACATGCACAACATGAATGCTTTTTGCAGGACTTTCCGTTTTCTCTTAAACTGCAAGCCATTGCAAAAAGGCAGATCTCTTAATATAACCTACAACCTAAAAAGACACACAAGCCGTTTAACAGGAAGTCAAGAGGAAACTGCAGAAATATTAAGACGGATTTTGTTAAACCTCAAATCTTGATCATTAAGTAATCAAAAGCAAGCACGACAGGAACGCAGTTTCCTGACACCTGTCTCTAACGGTACTGAGATCCGATCCTGAAAGCTTTACATATTTCCATCAGCCTTTACCATAAACCATCTATCTTAGCAGAGAAACCGCACGTGTAGTTTATCACGTTTCACAAACACAGGCGGACACATAATTCTTTCATTAGTCTTCATTTGAACACTACATCTATAGTTTTAGTAACGTTATACCCAAACTATTTTTGATAAATGCTTTGCTTGTAAAGTGTTCGTAATTGGCTTTATTTACATTAATTTTTATTTTTTTATTTGCATTTATGCATTTGTAGATGCTTTTATCCGAACTAAATCAGTTTATGCATTCACTGGGACACGAAACCAACCATAGTGTTGCTCTATGTTGTATTTTATTATTAAATGCAATGACATTCAGACATTGTAGGCTAAGTGTTCGGATCCACTATGCATTTAATCCAAAACGCAACTTTACCGCGCAAAATGCATTATGCGTGTTGAGTTTTAACATTACGCCATTAATTATCATTTAAGCATTATCCGTAAGGTACCGTAGTTTGCCTTAAAAGAGCTGCAACAGGTGCGCAAGTGATGTGCGCATTTATTGTCTATGAGATTCGCGGAAGTTTAAACCGAAAGTATCGCCAGTTCCTGACAAAACCTGAGTTTTTCCTCTGAATAGATGAATGTATTTGTGTTTTGCTCACCGATGAGTTCCGCGACCGCACTGAAGGGCCATGTGTGACTGGTGGAGTTGCTCTCCAGGTACGACGGGCTCATCTATAAAAACAACATTACACAATACAATCATCGTAAATACATCGTAGAGCGTGAGAAAAGACTTTAGAGAAGTTAAGAAAGAGTACACTACACACAGAGCTCAGCCGGATCCCGTGTTCGCTCAGTCTCGCCATCATGAGGGTTAAAACACACGTCAGATGAAAAGAGATGCAGATGGTTCATTCTTCCTCCTTCAGCGTCTCTGTGTGTGTGTGTGTGTGTGTGTGTGTGTGTGTGTGTGACGTGACACTCCCACCCAGAGCTCCACAGAGCACATCTCATCTGCACACTTATTTTCTTTTTGAGAGTTAGTTAGTTCCCTATGTCATATTTTTTTAATCATAACTT